GCTCCAGGACATCCTCCGGCTGGCCCAGGTAGGAGCCTGGATGAATCGCGGGATAAAGCTTCCCAGCTTTCAGAGATTCGGAAACCCCTGTTAGTCTTTTCTCTGGAAATCCTGTTAATTTGGAGACTACCAGCTCTCCCGAGTCCTTTGGAGACCTGCACGCGTCGTCCCTCTGAGGTCCTGGTGACGTCCCTGCCGCGTGGTGCTGGCACGCGTGCTCCGTCCCAGCCATCTGCAGAACGCTAGTCTTGTGGTTTTATTTATTTGGGAGAGAGAGAGGAGTCTAATACCTTGTATGGGTTTTATTCCTCATAACCCGTCTCTTTCCCGTCTCTTTCCCGTCTCTTTCCCGTCTCTTTCCCGTCTCTTTCCCGTCTCTTTCCCGTCTCTTTCCCGTCTCTTTCCCGTCTCTTTCCCGTCTCTTTCCCGTCTCTTTCCCGTCTCTTTCCCGTCTCTTTCCCGTCTCTTTCCCGTCTCTTTCCCGTCTCTTTCCCGTCTCTTTCCCGTCTCTTTCCCGTCTCTTTCCCGTCTCTTTCCCGTCTCTTTCCCGTCTCTTTCCCGTCTTTGCTGTCTGCTGCCCCCTTCCGCAGGAGTTGAGACCCAAGAGTTTAGACATCAAGCAAGAGGAGCTGGGGGACATGGTTGAAAAGGAGATGGCCTCTACTTCGGCAGCTATCGAAGATGCCGTCAGGCGGATAGAGGTGAGACGAGGCTGTCAGGCTGGTGCCTTAACCCTCAGCCTGCGCCCTTGGGCGGAGGTGGAGGCGGTGACCAGCTGGTGACTTACGGTGCCCATCTGTGGCACACACGGGCCTGAGATGTCTCAGGCTGCCAAAGAGGCAGAACCCGCCCACCCAGGTCCTGGGGACAGGGTTTCCATTCGTCCCCTGGTGTCGCCTTCCTTCCACCGGTGCGCCTGGTTATCGGCGCGCCGTGGCGTTGAGCTCTTCCTCTTGTATTTCCCCACAGGAGATGATGAGCCAGGCCAGGAACGAAAGCTCCGGCGTCCAGCTGGAGGTGAACGAGAGGTGAGCGAAGAGGGTTGACACGGGCAGGCTTGGCTGGCGTGCGGCTCCCTCGTGTGGCTGTAAAACACCTGGCAAGCTGTGTTTGCGCCGCGTGTCCGTCACGTGGTGACTATAAAAGCATGTCCTTATCATATCCTGCTGGTCTGTATTTTGCCCCAAAACATCACTTGCTATCTGGTGCTGCATCTTCTTGATGCTGAACATCTAAGCCAATTGACTGTGGCTTCTCTTTCTCCGTTACCTTCTGAGGGCTCCTGCAGCACACTCTGCACGCTGGCTGCTCTCTGCAGAAGACCCTTTTTCTAAGTCGGGCCAAAGTCTTCCTTTCCTGAAGGCAGTGTCGGAGGATGCTAAACACTTTTCTCTTGTTTTCCTACAGAATCCTGAACTCCTGCACGGACCTCATGAAGGTCAGTACTGCGCTTGTTCTCAGGGGAGCAAAAATGACGCAAAGCGCGTTACCGTCGGCAAGATCAACCCTTCAGTATAAAATCCCTGTCAAACACCAGAATCCGTTTTCCTTTGATCCAGGCAATTCGACTTCTTGTAATGACATCCACAAACTTGCAGAAGGAGATAGTAGAAAGTGGCCGGGTGAGTCCTCCCCTCCCCTCCGCT